CCTGGAAAGACTTTGCTGGATGTGAATGAGCAGAATTCACAGTCAATTAATAAAAAACGAGTTTTTGTCGGGACTAGAAGTTTGCTTCATGCTCTTGGGAAGCCTCGGTCAGAACACTTTACCTGCAAGCAGTAAACAATGCCACAGTGGTGAACAAGGGTTTCGACAAATCGAGAGCCACCTGTTGAATTTCTGGCAGGCTGGATTCGTACCTGAAAGGACAAACCTGTTTACTGAAGCCCCCAACAATTTTAATTCTACCTGAGATTTGGTTGATCTTTAGCTATGAAACCTTGCTAGGCACAAACCCGTACGCTCTTAAAATATTCAGGAAAATCCTTCTACTGACTGTGTTACTTATTCTTTCCTAATTTTAAATATGGCAGATGGAACAAACTACCCAAACAGCTTTGTATTTTTTTTTTCCAGTATACTACAGTTTAGATTATTGGCCGAGGATTGTCAACTCCAAAAACCATCCACTTTGTACGTCTAGACCAGGAGTCAGCAACCTGTGGCTCTGGAGCTGCATGTGGCTATTTCATCCCTCCGCTGTGGCTCCCTGTCGCCAGTCAGCACCACAATTTTGATAGGTACTTCCAGTTGGATGGGGCGGGGAGGAGAGCAGGGTGTGCCAGGAGGAGATTATATGGCAAGGGGCTGGTTTTTTGGTCAGCTCCACAATTGATGGGGCTTTTGGTTAGGACAGGTAAATGAAAAAGGATGCTGCACTAGGAGGAGACTCTATGGTGGGGAAACCGGACTTCCGGTTGGCCTCAGAATTGAATGGGAAGTTTCCGGTTAGGACCTTTGTGCCTCTTTCAGTGTTTAAGGTTGTCTAAACCAGGGGTCTCCAAGCCTCCAATATTGGCAACTTTTAAGACTTCTGAACTTCAACTCCCATGATTCCCCAACTTTAATTCTCCACATGTCTTAAGGTCGCCAAGTTTGGAGACCCCCCCCTGGTCTAAGATACAATCTTCAAATTCTTGCCTGTAATGGATGAATTCCCTCCAAAATACAGCACAGGAGCATCTGAGTCAGCAACATCTTTTAGCCCACTGGCAATTATTTCCCAAGAACTGTTCCCGATCTTGTTTGCACCGAGGATGATGAAGGATTTAAACTAGGGGTTGGCAGCCTTAAACACTCAGAGTCATTTGGACCCGTTTCCCACACAAAAAGAAAATGCTGGGAGCCACAAAACTCTTCCCCTGCCTATTTTCTGAGTGCCCACAAAACTAGCATATGTATTTGAATTAAAGGTTCTGTTTCCTTCCGAAACTTTTTCTTTTTTTGCATTTATCCATGGTTGGCCTACTGGGGGTCAAAAAGCTAAATCAATCGCGTGCTGGCAGGTGTGACACATATTTTGAGCGACAGGGAGCTGCAGCAGAGGGATGAAAGAGCCACATGCAGCTCCAGAGCCACATGCAGCTCCAGAGCCACATGCAGCTCCAGAGCCACATGCAGCTCCAGAGCCACATGCAGCTCCAGAGCCACAGGTTGCTGACCCTTGACTTAGCCAAACATATTCTGTAAAACGTCTTAAAAGTTGCTAAGGTTGAGAGACCCCTCGGCCTGAGGGTTTTGGAGAAGTAGCACCATCCAAATCCCCATTAACATTTTTAACTGGAAGCAGAAACGGTCTTTCAAAACGTCTTCCTACCTCTGCAGGATTTTGGATGCCAGCTTTTCAGCTTCCAAGCAGGAGAACTGAACTGCCACCTCTCTGATGCCAACGTTTGATTGCAGAGCAAGGAGGCTTTCAAAGGATCTCAGGTAGCGCTGGTAAGTGGCTCTGTTCAAGCCGGAGAGTTTCACAAAATAACCCTTCAAAAGAAAAAGGACAACGAAGCCATAAAGTATTTTCCAACATTATTGCCAGGCCTGCAATTATATTCCTTTTAGAATTTTGGCCTGCCACACTTTCTCTTATTTCATTATGCTGTTTCA